AAGAGAACCCAGGGACCCACCAAGCACACAGGGCCATGCGTGCAAGGGCGAGGCAAGCAGACAGAGAGAGGCCAGCCCTCTGTGACATGGCCCTTTAGGGCCACAGATACTTCCATGCACTTCAATAAGGCTTTTCTTCAGCAGCAGTCCCTTTTGATTCTGAAACATTTTTGATTCTTGCATTTTTTATTCTTGTCATATTTGAGATTTCCTGAGACACGTGTTTCATAAACATTTAACTAGGAAACTGTGTGATGGTATGTTGTCAGCTTCCTTGAAGCTAAGAGCTTTTCTCCACCCCCATCCTCCATGTAGTCAATGGAATGAAATGTAGTATAGCTGTATGGTATATCAAGAATCATCACATATATTCCAGAAGGTAATGGAGAAATACCAATATGCTCATAATGTAATATTTTATTATGCTCAATTCACACAATAAAGGGAGAAAGGGAAACCCCAAAATTCATAGCCAATTTTATTATGTTGTTGGAAGGGACACATTTCATACTCCACTGCTGAGGAGGCTCTGTATTGAATAGGAAACCTACATTAGATTATGTTTCTCAAAATGTTGTATAAAGATTACCTACATCAGAATATCTTGGATAATTAAAAACAGTGGTGAAAAGTCTTTCAATTAGATAATATGTTGATATTTTAAAGCAAATTTCTTAATGTTCTTCTTCAAAAATTAGAAAGACAAAACTATTACTAGTTAGAATGTAGTTTCTTCATCCAAGATGTGCGACTGGGGGATGTGGGAGGCAGTTACCTGCATTGTTAACAGATGCGATGCCCAGTGTCCGAAGTATTCTATACCTAGACGCTAAAACTGGAATAATCAAGGCAATATAAAATAAACATTTCATGTTGTATTTCACTTTGTAGACAAAGTTAATGTACCAGTTTCCATAATTTCAAAGTATAATTTAGAAAAAAAAATGTATTTTTACATTAACTATTTGGTTGTACTATAGAATACTCCACTTAATTGGATGTACTAATGTAGACAGTTACCTATCTATAAGCAGAATTAATGCTTTCTGGTCTCTTCCGTGTCTTTTTCATGCCAGACTAAATCTCAATGATTAATTTTTTAACAGATGCGATGCCCAGTGTCCGAAGTATTCTATACCTAGACGCTAAAACTGGAATAATCAAGGCAATATAAAATAAACATTTCATGTTGTATTTCACTTTGCAGACAAAGTTAATGTACCAGTTTCCATAATTTCAAAGTATAATTTAGAAAAAAATGTATTTTTACATTAACTATTTGGTTGTACTATAGAATACTCCACTTAATTGGATGTACTAATGTAGACAGTTACCTATCTATAAGCAGAATTAATGCTTTCTGGTCTCTTCCGTGTCTTTTTCATGCCAGACTAAATCTCAATGATTAATTTTTTTGAAATACTGGCGCGTCGGCCAATATGTAAACCTTACTGTGATGATGATGTCGAAATCCCATCCTACATGTGATTATTGATGCTAAAAGGGCTTCTGTAAGACTGATTTCAAGCGTCCTGCTTAATTGCATTTTATCGGGGCCGATAATTAAAAATGAAGCAAAGCATGAGAGAGGATTTCAGTTTAATTTGATTTATGTTGGAAGTGAACACGACCTTGACTGAATTTCCAAACTTTTGAGTTACCCATTTATGTAAAAGAACTGTCAGTAAAACCAGCTCCTGCAGAGATTATTTTAAACATTATCCCACACGCCTTTTGTCGGAAAACCCCAGTATATATTTTATATTTTCACAGGGAGATGTAACTTCATGTTTATGGTGCTATTGATGCAAATGAAAAGGATGACTATGTTACCAGGGAAAGTTGTCTCCTCCAGGGGCCAGGCATCCCATTGGAATGTGGATCCAGCCTGCATGCTGTGAAACCCACAGGTTTCCAGTGCGTCCGTTTCCACAGCCCTCACTCCGATGGGCGACTGATCGTGTGTGTTTCCCCGACAGGCCTACGCGGGCACAGACCTGGAGGAGCAGCTGCGGGCGGTGTCCAGCGTGGACGAGCTCATGAGTGTGCTGTACCCGGAATACTGGAAAATGTACAAGTGCCAGCTACGGAAGGGAGGCTGGCAGCAAAGCCCAGGCCAGCCCGGCGGCGATCCGAGGACAGAAGACACTGTAAAATTTGCCGCCGCGCATTATAACGCGGAGATCTTGAAAAGTAAGTACGGGGAAGAAGAGACACAAGAGGGTCCCATAGCAACACGGGAGGGTGGCCAGCCTGTGCCTTGAATTGTAGCACCGGGACCGCCGAATGTTTTTAGGGCCAAGAGTAAAGGCAGTTTTCCAAAGGCACGTTTTTAGGACTTCACTGTGAGTGCTGAGGCTGATTTCTTGAAATAGAGGAGAGTGTATGCCTACCACACACTTGAATTTTTAAATATTAGGTGATATCTCATTGCAGAATCTTAAAACATAAGGATATTTTACACAGCCTGTGAGTGTAACCACGCAAACATTCTGTAGCTTACAAAATCATTGCACACGCATTTTCTTTCTGGTTTGGAGTTAGAAGTGTTTGATTCCTAACTCATTCCAGCTCACCTTGTCAAGTGCCACTTGTTGGCCTGTGGTCTCACGGTCACTGGCTTCAGAGAGGGACTTCGCGGAAGCCCCCGAGGGGCCCCGCAGAGAGAGTCACCAAAATCACCATGCTGCACAGCAGGGCGTAGTGTCAATGGGGGCATTGCTTTTCACAAGTAGTTCCCTTCAGTTACTGGATATTAATTCCTGTAAAGGTTTGAGATTGCAAAGCATTTTCAGAACAAACCCAACCAAACAAAATGGCTTCATGGTTGAGTCATGAATCGTGTATGTACTCTTTCC